TAATCACAACTCTGTTGAAACCATTTATAATTTTTTCATTAATGGCTGCTTGTGTAATACTTGCAACAGAACTTGTTGTTTCCTTCTAAATGACAAGCCACATCTATCTCCTCTGTTCTAAATCTTTTTAATACCAAAGAAAAAAAAATTACAAAACCACATACAACAGAGATGAGGCTAGACCCTGTTATTTTCTTCTCTATTCTCCCTGATTCACTGTTTTCCAGTGACCTTGGCCTTGGAAACAGCATGAAGTAGGCATGCAAGAACTTCATGGGGTATTCAGTCTGCCTTTTCCCTCCTTTGGCATTTCTTACCATCATCTATATGTTAGTTTCTGCAAAGGACTAAGCAGCACTTGTTGGATACCAAGAAGCAATTGTATTGTCTAGTCAATTGTTTGCATTGTGTTTACAGACTGTTTCTTTGCATCACTGAGTGGAATAGACCATGAATCATAGACTATTAAATGAAATTACTGTGTAGGTGTAGAATCATTGCAGGGAATGGAGAATAAAAACATAATTTCATACCAGCTTTGCTATGTGTGATTTCTTAAAATGGTTTTTTCAAATAGTCATAAAAGAGATAAGCAATAATGCTGAATATACAGGTATAAAGAATTGTGTTTTAGCTATCATTACAGACAGAAAAATAACATTATTACCACTGCTTGGGAGAAAACAAGTACATCAACATACACCATCTCATTGATTGTCAAATTAATTCAGGGAGGTAAGCAGGGTAAGTATTTTAATCTCCATTTTAAAGACAGAAAATGAAGGCTTTGAGAGGTTCTCTGAATTAACAAACTCATATAAGCCAGTGTGAGTGTGTGTGTTGCTGGCAGGACTGGAACCAAGTTCTCCTAAATTCTGGCTTCAATCTGTAATTCATCAGCATGCCTTTAAGACTTTGGGGATAACTTTCATTTTTGTACAATGAAAACAATGAATGCATCATACCTGGTTTATTTCCTGAGTGGTTGCTATTTTGTCCTGAAACAGCAGAGGTGGGGCGGTTGGTGGCAGGAGTCTTCTTATCTTGCACTTTGTGGCTGTCAGGCGCTATGTAAATGAGAAAGAAAAAAAAGAGAGAGAGAGAGGTATTTAGTTTCTTAAAACTTATTCAGAAACATTCACCTATTCAACATTTACTATTAATCTTGTTATCAAGTACAAGGCTAGATTCAGGAGGTAAAAACATGAAATAGTTTTGGCCCCTACCCTTAAGAAGCGTACATCAGTGGGAAGGACACAGTCAATGCTCATCCTAAATTCATAGCCTCAGCTCAAGTCAATCCTATAGTAGCGTGCCCAAGGGTCACGGCTGTCCCAGTTTATAGATAAGGAAACTGCATGGAAGCACAATTGGAACCTAAAGTCTCCAATCTAATACATTAACCTAAAGTTCATGCTTCAGTCACTAAAAAATTCCAACAACATAACCAAGCAGATCATTCAAAGGAAATCAGGAGATACTCTTTACTGGCATTTGGAAAGCGCTTCCAACAAAAGTTCACCAACAAAGATTATGAAAGATTATTAAAAAGACTAGGGGAAATCAGAGTCAATTCAGTGTCACACAAGAGCGGGGACAACGTATCTCAGAAAGGCACAGAGGG